TTCTATAAAAGAAATCCAGAAGGAACTGTTTATTCAAATGGAACTTTTCGTTCAAAAATAGAAATAATCACAAATTCTACTAATATTTCTAATATTTACGATAAATGGTCAGAAGATATAATAGAAAGTTTCAGTAATTATCAAAATGCAGGATCTGGATGGATATTCAGGAAAATATTAAGCTTAGAAATTAATATTGATAGGTTCATACCGATTTCTGGAAGATCTTATTTACCTCTTCCAAAAGAGTTAATTCCAAAGAAGGCTATTATCAATATGAAGAACAAGGATAATGAGTGTTTCAGGTGGGCTGTGACTCGTGCGTTATATCCATCAGAAAAAATTAATTTAGAGCGTGTTACTAAAAAACTAAAAGAAGATTCAGAAAATCTCGATTGGAGTGGATTAGAATTTCCAGTAAAAGTTGAAGATATTTCAATATTTGAGGAAAATAATCCATACGGCGTAAATGTGTTTGGATACAATGGTGAGGTCTATCCGCTTAGAATAAGTAATAGTGAAAATAAGATAATTAATTTAATGATTATTTCTGAAGGAAGTAAAAACCACTATTGCTGGATAAGAAATATGTCTCGGCTCGTAAGCAGGCAGGTTGATAATCATCAACATTATCGATTCATTTGCGAGAGATGTCTAAACTCTTTCAAATCGCAAGAATCTTTAGATAAACACTCAGAGTATAGTAAGAACTCAGATGCCATCAAAATGAGTCTTCCTAAAAAGGGAACAACTCTTAAATTCAAAAATTACAATCACTCAATGAGAGTCCCATTTGTAATATACGCCGACTTTGAATGCTTTACAAAAAGATTAGCATCGTGCCAGCCAGATCCAAATAATTCATATACCGAAAAATTTCAATATCACAAACCATCAGGATTCTGTTATTATCTAAAAACCATCAATGACATCTACGAACCCAAAATGGTCTCATATACGTGTAAGAAAGATGAAGACGTCGGGCAAAAATTCGTAAATTCAATCGAAAAAACAGTTAAGAAACTGTATTCCAATATTTGGTATAAAAAGGTCAAAATGACCACTGCGGATAACTTGTCATTTCTTTGGCATATTGGTAGCTGAAAAGTTTTTCGGCAATAGTTTTATTAGCACGTTCAACTAAAGCTTGCGCTCTATGATTATTAGCTTCTGATCTTTGTATGTTGTATATTCTTGTAACTTCACCTTTGAATTCAGTGCCCGGATCAACTATAATAGTTTCTGGCTTTCGTAACTTGCGCGAATATATTTTTCCAAGGATTTTACTATGAAAATGTTCTTTTGCATAAGACATTTACTATTGCCAAAGCAACGGATTCGGTAATAAACGAGCATGTGAATTTGCCGAGAAGATCTATGTCCGGCATTTTGATGTTATTTGTTGATCCTTATGCCGCAGGTGCAAGAGATTCTGAAAAATTCGTATATCAAAAATTACAAAAGTTAATGTAAATGTGGGTGGAATGCCTAATAAACTGTACAGCAAAGGAATGCTGCCAACAGACTTTTGGACTGCTATAGTTAATAACATGGGCATTACGGATATTACGCAAAAACACTTTTATACGAATAAGTTCGCTCTATGGATAGATTTGAGAACTTATTATGATAATAATATGCACGGAGGCGGTCTTGTGCTTAATAGTACGAAAGACGGTGTTAAGTTGGAAATAAAGAGAGCGGCAAGCGGTTCAGGTAATATTACCTGCTACATGTTTGTAGTGGCCGATGCYGTAATGGAGCTGGMAAATGCTAGCCTTAAGTCGATAATTTATTAAATATATGGATGATTTGAAAGATCGGATTCCTTTTCACTGCATAATAACTGGGCCTACTAACTGTGGCAAAACCAATTAAGAGGCGAATACAGATATGTTTTCAGCTACATAGTGCTAATTTGCCCGACATATGAGCAAAACAAGACATATAAGAATTTCGCTAACGGAGATAAGCGATTCATTGTTATTGAGCCCGAAAATAACCAAGATGAGATTAATAATATTTTAGAAGATGTTGAAGAAGTATTTGGCGGATTAAATACATTAGTAATTCTTGACGATTGCACATTTACAAGAGATTTAAAGCAGCGGTCAAATAAGTTTATAAGTCTTGCTTTTTCAGGAAGGCATAATAATATAAGCATGTGGGTTCTTACACAGCAGCTGACGGCTATAGCGAAATCTTTTAGAGAAAATGTAGCTTGCATTATTAGTTTTTTTACACCGAATAGGGTTGCAAATCAAACTCTTTTTGATGAATTTGGTGGCGAGCTATCAGCTGAAAGTAAAAAAGATTTTATGAAGATATTGAAATCTGAAAAATATTCCCGCATTTGTTTTTGTCTCCGACATCCTTACAATTGTTATATTGAAATTCCTAATATATATGGATGATCAGATAATTGAACTGCTTGAAGAAACTGTTGAAACTCCGGTCGAGAGACCAGTAGAAACGAAAAAGAAGCGTACAACGAAAAAGCCAGACTCTCCCGAAGTTGAAGAGAAAAGAGAGCAGCTGTCTATCCTGGCTGTTTTAGGAACTATAGAAACTTACACGGGAGTTAAAATGTCTTTAGGTGATGTAAAAAAGCTTTCAGCTAAGGATGTTGAAACATATTATAACCGATATCAAGTCACTATGGGTAATCAAGTGACTGGAAGTCTTGTTGATATGGTAATCGAAGGGGCTTCTGAGGTAATCAGTATGGTAGCTCCAATAGACGATAAGAAAGAAT